ACTTTTCGACCGTGTCCGAGTCGCACGCGACCCAGAAGCGCTCGGTGCTGGACCCATCAGCCGACGTTGCGATCTTGACGCGCTTCGCCAATGGCGGGATCTGGCGATGGCGAAAGCCGGCCTCGCCGTCGTCGCCCGACTCGTAGTACATGTTGTCTTCGTCCTCGTCGTCTTCATCCTCGTCGTCTTCGTCGTCGTCATGGTCATCGCCTTCGCCTTCGTCGTCGTCGAGGTCATCTTCGACATGCGCATGGCCAGCTCCGTCGTGGCCGTTCGCATGCGGATCGGCGCCACGTGTGTTGTTGTGCATCTGGAGCTCTTCCCAGTCGTTCTCGAGGAGGTAGTCGGTCGCCGTCTCGAGGTTATGGTCGCAGATGCGGAGCTAATGGTCTGTCGTCATGAGGCCTCCTACCGCATGCGCCTACCACTTGCTCAAGCACGGGCGCGGGGATCGCGGGGAAGATCGGCTGCAACTGGTCCATCGGCCCTCGTCCGGCGGCTTGTTCAAATGCAAAGCTGTCCGGAAGAGCGTGGCGAGTAAAAATAGGCAAAATTAAATTAATATTCGGTATCCGGACTGCGCAAAAGATCGCAACCTTTGAGACGCCCGAGTCTTCGCGGCCCGCACGCATCGCTGGTGCATAGCCTTGCCGAGCCCATGCCATGGCTCGCCCGACCGCCTTCATAGGTGCAGTGAGTTGATCGGTGCTGCGTAAGCCGATCATTTGGCGCACAGCATGTGCCAGCCGCGTCCTGCTCAACCTCGATAGTACACGCTCCGGCAAGCCCTCTCTTTGTACTACGACCACAGCCATCGGTGCATCAGTTGCACCTCCCATCGTGACGGCAGAAGCTTCAATCGTAGCCGCCAGCCGCAGCGTGCTCATGCACGGCGAAGCTAGGACCAAAGCTGTCGAGCTACATCTGTCCGACTTGTCCAGAACGTCGGCGCATCTCCTATCAGCACCAACCATTGTCGTTGGGTACCTGTAAGCAGCGTCGTCGGCTACACCATCATGGGCGCTACCGGCGTGTCAAGATAGCGGCCAACTGAGAATGAGAGCACAACGACGACGTACGGCCGTGTCTCTATATGTGTCATCGGACGCGATAACGACTGTGACATCGCGCATCGCCCGTCCCGCAATGCTTCAAGGACGGCGTGGGTGCAATCGGTGTAGGATCGCGCCAAACGGTGGTCGTTGCGCTGAAATTTGTTCGCGCTTGTAATTGCAGTTGGTAACACGGATTGAAGCCGAGGCCATCGTTGCCCTACTACCTGTGCTCCTTTCGCTGCGTCTACCCTGTCGCCAAGTAGGCTGGCCACGCATCGTCAATAAGGTGATGGCCTTCATGTGACATAAGAGTGATTGCCTTCAATCGATGTGTGAGATCGCATGGCGTAGTGGACGCATAGCGTCCACTTAGAGGACGTGTACCTGACCGATGGCATGTCGCAAGAGGGCACTTTAAATTCGCTTGCTCCTGACGACGACTGGCTTCCACCTATGACGACATTTGCCTGCGCCCATCCGCGATCTTTGGCCGTCACTCCGTCCGGCCGCCGGCTCGGCCCGCTCCTAACCTCCCAACTGCTGCGTCGGCCTGCTAGAGGTGTCGCCATCGGCTCGAACAGTCGTGTGCGTTTTATTTTATTATTATTAGCGCTTCCTGATCCTCCGGTTGCGGCTGCTGGAGGTGAAAACAATGCATACCTCTCTCTTGCAATTTGTAATGAATTATTTTAAAAGATCCAGAACGACTGTGTCGTCCGGATACAGCGAGCGAATCAGGACGTCGGAATCGTATCTTTAAAAGTTGACATACAAACACCAAGGTAATTAAATTCCACTGCAAGTGTTTATGGCCCGGCAGAGTAAGGGCACCTACTTAGTTTTTCTTTTTAGTCCCATCCGCGCGGAAGACGGGTCATGACCACGACGTTCTTCCAACCGGTCAAGCTGCCCGGCGGCAGTCCGCCCGAGTGGACCGGAAGCGAGTCGGGTACCTCCATGACGATGATGGCGCCCGGAAGCTCATGCGGCGCGGCTGCCTTAGAGCGATCCTCGGTCCATATGCGGCGACGCACCGAGACCGGCGCCCGCCCGCTGGCCATGTCGCGCGGGCGCAGCGAAAGCAGCGGCCTCCGAGGCATAGGAAGCTATACGCGGGGTCGCAGCATGAGCCTGCCTGTCGACGA